ATGGTCTATCCCCAGTGCATATATTTTCCTATTGTTTCATTTGAACCAAATGTGAATGTTTTCCACAGAGGGTGCAGGGAGAATAAGCAATTGGGAATGTTATTTTGGGGTCTGTGTAGTATCTGCATCTGACTGTGTTTGCACAAGGCCAGATCTATCTCAGAAGGTCTCTCCACATGCAACTGTAGCACAAAGAGAATTTCCCACTGTCCAAAATGTTATTACTTCTATCCTAATCCTCGGGATTATCTCAAACTATTAGCTGTCCCCAAATAGGTCCATATTAAAACAATCCTATATAAATAGTCAAACGGGGTAATCACGTTAGATGTTGCCCAAGCCATTCAAGATCAATCACTTTGCAGTGTAACAATCTAATCCTAAAGATCCTACACTCCCTTTCATAGAAAAACCTGAGAACTGAAAGGTTTCCCTCAAGTCAATTGGAATGTATTCAGCCTGGTCTATTTTTCTGGCTGTTGCCATATCAGCAAGCCATCCCCTTCACTCTCAAACCAAAATACTGAATTGTCATGCCAATGTCCCATATGTCCAGATGTTAATGTAATTGGTGCAGAAGATGTGCCTTTTGACCTAATCAACCACCTGTGGATTTTGCACAGAATGTGTTTCCAGTTAACAACATATTATTCTAGGAATTCAAGATCATCTGGGGAGGCCCTGCTCTCGATTCTGCCTCCCTCACAAGCTGGTCTGGTGGGGACGAGAGACAGGGCCTTCTCAGTGGTGGCCCCTTGGCTGTGGAACTCCCTCCCTAGGAATATTAGATTGGCTTCCTCCCTTTTGACCTTCTCAAAAAGAGAAAAAACTTGGCCTTTTGAACAAGCGTTTGGAAATGCAGCGGAATAAATAATTATGAAATAGGAAGAATGAACACGGAATGGCTAGACAATGCTGTTGGATAATGATTTTAACAGGACAACACTGGTAATTATATGTTTTTAACGGTTTTACATGGTGTTTATAATATTAGGTTGGATGTTTTTAACTTTATTTTTATGAGTGTATGGCATCAAATTCTGCCAATTCTATAAGCCGCCTTGTGTCTCCGTAAGGCTGAGAAAGCTGGGCTACAAAAGCCAAAAATAAATAAATAAATAAATAAATAAATAAATAAATAAATAAATTCTGTGCAAGAAACAGCTATGCAGTAAATAATATTTCTATGTAAAATATTATTTTCATTATAGAAAATAACATATATTTTTTTTTGCAAAATGCAGCTCTATTCAAAATTTATGTTGAATATACCTCAAACTGCAAAGATTCTTGTTGGTTCAGAATCTTATCATCACACTTTCACAATATTCTGAGAAGCCTGTTCTTTGACTATTTTGCAATTACTTTTGAATTTACCTTACAGCAAGAGAGATTATGTGCATTTTCCTTTATCCTATTATTATTTGAAATACAACAAGATTAGTACACAGAAAACAAAATCACTCTGCTGGTTGTTGTATTGGATCACACATTGGACACTTCCCAAGTATTGGTGAATAATGTGTGCAGATCCCAGTAGGGTGGCCATGTTTTTTTCTTTGTCAATTTGGCTCTCATTTTTCATTATTATTATTATTATTATTATTATTATTATTATTATTATTATGTTTTTTATACTCTGCTTTTTTCTTTCCACAAAGAGATTCATGCCACAATTACCACTTATCTTGAAGGAGGATAATGATGCTAGGATTTAAACTAGCAAAAAACTACCAAAATGGATTAAAGGAGAAAAGAAGAACACATTACTATAGTTCTTTGCACCGTTATTGAATTTTAGTTAGTTTTTTTTAAATGGTTGCTATTGTTTACCTTCAAGTTGGAGTTTTCTGAGGCTAAGAGTGTATTGCCCAGTGGGTTTTCATGACTGAGTAGGAATTCAGACTTTGTTCTCGAGTCTTAGTCCAACATTCAAACCACTAGCCATGTTGGACCACTGCTTTAAAATGGTACTGCAGATCAAGGCATCTGATAAAAGTAATCCGTTTGCACTCTGCCTACCTGTGCTAAACAAATTTTTGGATTATGCTGTACCAATGAATAGATGTCAGGAACAATCCAATGCAGATGGGTCTAAAAATAAGCCCCAATCTATTATTCGCATACCAGTAGACAGGTGTGGAGTCAAATCCTAGTTTCCCAGAGCCCTAGTCCATCACTCAGTTACTACACCATGCTAAATCTCAAGTACTATATATGCACAATGATTTCTTTGTGTTCTCAAATAATCATTTATTTTAACACCAGATTGTAGGATGGCTATTTCCATACAACATACACACTAACAGCATTCCATTACTCCTACCACTAAAGTAAATAGAGTTGGTCTGGAGGTGGTCTACAGAGCAATACCTATTTTGCCTGATGTAAGACTCCTTCTGTGTCACGACTCTCCTGTCATTCAGCATTGTGGGAACTGCTCAACCAGACTCCATGTAAACCAAGTCATGACAGGCTGTCAGGCCTCCTCAACTTTTCCTCCTATGAACCCAAATTAGAGCAAGCTGTCAGCTTGGTGTTGTGTTTGGCTCCGTGTGGAAGACTCTGGTTCATTTCTCTTCAGGGAAGTATTACTTCATCTAGCTGTGTACAGATAATGAACATTTAGGAACAACACAAGCATTTTGTGAGCAATTTGATCTTTTTAATGTTTCGAGCATGTTGTTCTTTCGAGGAACTATGCTTAGGGTCACAACTGAGCCACAGGCTGAGGTACAAATGTGTGTGAAATGATTCTTTTTGAAATGGATTCCATTGCTGGTTGCCAAAGAAAGGGTCTTGATTCTTGACTTGAGCATCCTAAGCTAATGTAGCAGCCAACCTTTTGGGCAAATGTGTCTTCTCAGCAACTATGAAACAGTGCCACTTTAAAGCATGGCAATTTCTGCACCCCATTTCAGTGCCCTCCAATGCCAAGAAGGCAGCAGTCAAACAAATGAGAGACAACCAAGCCACCACTGAGAAGGCCCTGTCTCTTGTCCTCGCAAGGCATATCTGCAATGAAGGTGGGATCAAGAGCAAGGTCTCCCCAGAGCATCTTAAATTTCTAGTTAGTTCATAGGAAGAGATTAGTTCGGACAGGTAGGCTGGGCCGGAACTGTTTAGGGCAGTGGTTCTCAACCTGTGGGTCCCCAGGTGTTTTGGCCTATAACTTCCAGAAATCCCAGCCAGTTTGCCAGCTGTTAGGATTTCTGGGAGGTGAAGGCCAAAACATCTGGTGACCCACAGGTTGAGAACCACTGGTATAGGGCTTTATAGGCTAAAGCCAGCACATTGAATTGTGCCTGGTAGCAAACTGGCAGCCAGTGGAGCTGGCGCAATAGAGGAGTTGTGTGTTCCCTGAGCACTTTTCCTCTTAGCAAACTGGCTGCCACCCGCTGGACCATTTGAAGCTTCTGAACAGTCTTCAAAGGCAAACCCACGTAGAGTGCACTGCAGTAGTCTATATGGGATGTAACCAGAACGTGGACTACCGAGCCAAGTCAGACTTCCCAAGGTATGGGCACAGCCAGGCCCGTAGCCAGGATTTCGTTTAGGGGGGGCTGAATTTTTTTCAGGGGGGGTTTGGGGGGGCTGAGTTTCGGGGGGGGCTGAGTCTGAGTGAAAGAGGGTCTAGCCTAGCAAACCTTTTGTATCATTACCCCAATACCCCCATGCATATGGGATATATTGAGTATGGTGATCAGATCATTATATGAATAAACATAACAGTTTAAATAATGCACCAGTAAGGCCTTTTCGCGAACCACCATGAGAATTTCGGGGGGGGGGGGCCTGAAGCCCCGCCCCCCCCCCCCCGGCTACATGCCTGGGCACAGCTGGCGCACAAGCTTTAATTGTGCAAATGCTATCCTGGTCACCACCAGTCCATATCAAACAAAACACAAGGATGCTCTGTGCCCCAGGGAAGCTCCAAGTTTCTTTTGATTCTGTTCATACCCATCAGCTAAAATGGTTGCTTCCCTGTTCCACACTTGTGTCATCCATTGTGCAGAACAGCCAGTAATGGCCAGAAGCTGCAATCTGTATACTAGCTGCCTGTTAGTAGAGGTGCCAGGCGAACAAATATTCACTTTTACTGTATAGGATCTGAACCTGACTGTAACCCCCTCCCATTTTGCAGAAATTGTTGATAAGATCCATGCTATATCTTTGCTGATCAGTTGCATTTTAAAATATCTATTATTCACACAAATTTTCTGAAAGACAAGACCAGCTACACTCTTTCACTATGCCCATTTGTGAGGGAATATTGGGCCAAAGTAATACAGATGTAGAAAAGTCATTAAGGTTGTCATATGTGCTGTGCAGTGTTGGAATAATCAACTTTTTTGTTCAGATTTTTTAAAAGACGAGGAAACAGGCATTTTACATTAAATCTTAGCACAGTATACGGTGTTCCTTTTCTCTTCCAGTAAAGGGTGCGACAATGGAAACTTTACTGAGAGTAGCAGACTGCATGTTTTCATAGGCCCACACTAGGGGAAGTCTGAATGGAACAGATCCCAGACAGCTGTTAAGAAAATACTCACAGAGGGAGTGTAAAAGGGAAGTGAAGCAATGCTGAACTTCATCCAAACAACCCGCACTGCAAAATTATTACATTAACCCTTTTAGTAGTCCATCTGCTTATATGACCCATTTATGGAGGCAGCGTGGGTGATTAAGATGGCTCTTGGCCATGCCACAAGAAAGTAAGGAAAAAGCACTTACAGACCCAGCAGGGCATAATGTGGGAAGCAGGATTTAAAGTGATACCTATTCATTCTCTCTTCCACCCCTCCCCCCGCCTCATTTAAACTGCAGAGTGCATAATTATTAGCATTGGAAACAAGACTGTTGCAGAAGTCATAGCAAGTGGGCACCAGCATGCAAGCTAATACAGATTTTTCCCTGGTTAAAATTCCTGGGAGTGAGATCTTATGTAAATGCTAAGGAAGGAAACATCAACTCATAAGATTAGATGTTGTTTTTTCAGTTGCTTCCAACTCTTTGTGACCAAGGATAAGCCCACGCCAGAGCTCCCTGTCGGCCATCACCACCCCAAGCTCCTTCAGAGTCAAGCCAGTCACATCAAGGATACCATTCACTCATCTTGCCCTTGGTTGGCCCCTCTTTCTTTTTCCTTCCATTTTCCCCAGCATCATTGTCTTCTCTAAACTTTCCTGTCTTCTCATGATGTGGCCAAAGTACTTCATCTTTGTATCTATTATCCTTCCCTCCAGTGAGCAGCCGGGCTTTATTTCCTGAATTATGGACTGGTTGGATGTGATACCAAATCAGTTGAGAGGAAATAAAGTAACAGACGATTGATAACCGGCCCAAACAGATGGTGGTCATTCAGAAATAGTAACATCACTTGGAATCCTTGGGCAGCTGCAAGAGTCTCTACTAAAGGAACTCCAGATGCTGTTGGATCTCAACGTCCAACATAGCCAAGAGCAAGAGAGCTGAAGTCCAGCATCTGGAGCCTCCTTGGTTGAGAAGAACCACTCCTAAGAGAGCCAGAGAGTCCAATTCTAGGACTCCTTTCAAAGACAATTTTAACCCAATACACTGAGCAGTTGGGTCTAGCTACCATTTTAACCATCCCAATGTTACTTTAAATTAAAATGATTATTTGGGGCCCTGGAGTAACAATTCCACATAAACAGACTATACCCCATCAACTAAGAAATAACTCACCAGAGAGCACTTTGTCCAAGATGCTCCTGAAACCATAAACCATTGCTGGTAAACTGCTTGCCTAGATGATTATTCACACAATACCCTACCTGTTCATAAACACACAAAAAGTGAGTGAGTCTTTTCCCAGTTGCTCCATCACAGCTCTAGCTATATTTGTTTTGGCTTCTATGGGATTAAACTGAGCCTATCATACTTTATCCAAATTGAGAGATGACATATCTCATTAGAAAGACTACAGTGCTTGGGAAAAGAGGAGGCAGTCGGAAAAGAGGAAGAATGTCTTGGGTTTGATTAAACTTAATCAAGGAAGCCATAACCCTCAGCTTAGAAGACTTGAGTAGAGATGGTGACAGGGTTTCTTGGAAATTTCTCATACGGTCACAATTCATTGGAAGTGACTTAATGGCATTTGAAAACAACATAATAATCCCACCACTAGGAAAGCACCCACTTCAGAGTTAATAAAAAAGTTGCACTTTGTCCATTACCAGAGCCCTATCAGTTCACATTGACAGCCCCAGTGGTGAAGTGCCAATTATAATTAGCAAATATAGCAATAATTATTGCTATAGTTCCAGAAAGGGGCCAAGTATGAGAACTGAGAATAACAAACTGTGGGAGAGTTGTCTTGGCTTCCAACTTGCAGAACCCCTCAGTCAGTATGGCCGTAGGTCCTACAACAGACAAAGCATAAACAAAAAAATTATGTTTCAGAAATCAGAGGTTATCCTTATACTAAACTAAGATGCCCACCATCTGCTTTTAATTCTCACAATGTATATGCATTTAATTTATGGCAATCTCATGAATTTCATAGGTTTTTTCTTCTCCAGGAATATTCAATGGTGACTTTGCCAGTTCCCTCTGAAATACAGCTACAGCACCCATCCAACTACTAACCAGAGCTGACCACGCTGATTCCAAAATGACATAGGCTCTGGTGTCTTTAGGAGATTAAGGCTATTCTTTAAGGTTTTACATGCCTCCAATTCTTTTTCATAGGAATGAGAAAGAAAGTGAGACACATGGAGATTAAAAATAGATTTCTTCAAATTGACTCTATGTACATATAGAACAAAGAAGGGAATCCGAGAATGTCAGTTTCTGCTATAATTGCCAGGCAGTGTTCTGTTGCCAAGGTAAGAATCACATGATCCTGGTTTCAAATCTGTTTTGCCTATAGCCCATAAGCATTCTTGGATCCATCAGGTGGGAAGTTATTATTTTTATGAAAAACATTAGATCTCCTGAACGGATTGGAGAAGCTGCTCTTCTTTCAATCAGTTGTGAATTCAACTTAAAAATATATTGAAAAACAGCACACATTTGTGCTACTTTAGAAGTCATGAATAGCAAAGAACACACAAGACTAGAATCTGGAGGAAAAAAAAAACCCCCGTAGGCCTGGTGTTACAGATTCACAGCACTACTTGTAAGAACAGGAACGGAGCTATTTGCATAGGGCGTCTGACCTTCTGCCCATCACCATCACCAATATAGTCCTGCATACTTTTTTCCAAAATACTTATGAATTGACCACAATATTACTTGAAATTAAACTCCCAGACAGGAAGGAAAGTGGGCACTGCATAAAGACTGCTTTTCCCCACACTATATGAGTATGTTTTAACATGTTCCATGCCCATAACAGCCAAAAAAAATCTCTCCGCTTCAGCTTTCTGGCATATGTTTCTCCCCAAGGGACCAATCTGAGTAAAAAGAGCTGTTACTAAAAACTTCAGTGAGGTCATATGTTTGGCAAACCTAATGGCAACAAATTAAACTGCTTTTTTTAGGAACTTGGCTTGGCCATTGCTTCAGCGTTCCAAACAGAATCCTTAACCCTTTCTCACATCCTCTGACACTACAGATGCAGAAAGCGAATTCCTCAAATGAGCAATTCTCTTTGTTGGATCTCTTTCTCTGGATTCTGTAGCATACCCTTCCTTAGTTACCTATTGTGCCGCTTCCCAAACTAGGAATTTTGCCAGATGATGAATACAGATGCTTCATTCTCTGGAAAAAGCATTCAATGTAATGAGTAAAACTGTATTTATTGCCTCCTTCTCATAATACAACAGGAATATGATACTGAAATTTAGACACATCAATAAGGACATAAACACAATGGTTGGAATCCTGTTGGGGATTTACAAATATAATAAATGCTATAGTTACATTGCTACACAGTGAATATCATTCCAATATTTACAGAGCAACGGCTGCTGTGATTGATGAGGATCTGTTCCCCTATTAATAGGGAAGCAGCTGATATCCCTGCTCTCTCATGTGAGGGATCCCCATTGCGACAGATAGAAGCAGGGTTCCTGTTACAACCCCACTAGCAGCAGTGATCACGCATGTGAGAGTTGGCGAGAATGGCAGCCAGCTGCTTTGGGAAATACAGGAGAACAGACCACCATCATTTGCAGCAGCTGCTTCTTGGTAAGGGAGTTGGGGGACTTGCGCAGTTCCTATGGAGTTCATAAACTAGGGACTACATAAGGACTGTGAATATGAAGCAGTTACAACTTAACTCCAGATTATGTATTTATTACTGCCTAACAAGATTCTGGCCAAAGTGCTTTTGTCCACAAGTTGGACTTCTGTCCTGAACTCCCCCAACCCTTAATTTATTTCAGAATTATATTAGTGATACCTGTTAATGGCTGCAGAGTATAGAGATATTGATCAGACCATCTCTTCAACAGGAAATTGGAGAGAACATACCGGAAACAGGGCCATCTGAATAAAGAGAGATTAAGTTAAGACCCAAATCCACAATTATTTTTTCAAGGTGGAACATTTTGAAAAGGGAATCAAAGGTATCAGGCCATCAGCTTGATTGTTATATACCAAAAGGAATTTAACAGAACTTTGCTGCTACAGCTGCCACTTCATCAAACCTTTTGTGTCATTACATTGTCAATTTAAGGGGCCAGACTGCATTCCTCAGTAAGACTGAATTTGCCTCGGGGGACTCCGGTTGGCAACTTGCAGGCAAGAATCTTTTTTTCTTTAGAGATACTTTTACTTCTAAACCCACAGCTGCTCCTGTACTTACTTCCCACACAATTCTCCTTCAATTCATCATAAGTCTTTCGAACAAACATTTGGCTTCAATGAGAGTTCCAGTGAATCTCTCTATAATGAACTGAGCAAAACTCCTTTACATAAGAAGTGGTCATCTTTGGAATGCAGGAGTTAGCTCTGTTTCTCTTGACCAAACTGTAAGGCTGCATCCTCCTTCCCCTCCCACAAAAATCTGGTGGCAAAATCAAACCATTTGTTGGCTAACCACTAAATTCCATTAAAACAATGAGTAAATGCTCATTTAAAGGAATTTCCCAGTGCAGCTGAATGTTAGGGACAAGCCTACACACACAACCACGTTAAAACAAGCATACCCTTGTTTCAAAGGTGAATTTTGCTGTCAAATTTAAGCAGAATTGTTTAGATGGGGGTTTGCCATCAAGCATATCATGTAACATCAGCTTAAAGATAGGGTGTTTTGCATACTTGCTTGCAACTGAACTGAATTTGGTGAGACTGGCTTCTGACTGCGGAGTAGATTGGGGTGCAAGTCATGTAAATGTGCTTTACTTTCAATTGAAAATTCACTGCTTTAAACCAAGCTAATATTCTTCAGGTGGCATCATAAAACAGCAGCGTCCAATGCTGGAAGCCAATATAGTGTAGTGCCACCTTCATTAACCTAGTAACTATCCGATGTGCTCAGATGCAACTCCCATCGTTTCCAGATAGTATTACAGTCTAACACATCTGAAAAGGACTCCAGTCTAGCTGCGCTTACAAATTCTGTAACATTGAGGGTAGATGGCCACATACAGTGGTTATATAGTAAGCTCCTCAGGAAAGGCTGAGATGTCAAAAAACAAAAAGAAAGAAAAAGAAAAAAATGGATTTAATGCAGCACAGTGTATCACAACACCAATAATGCAATGAGACTTTGTTTCTCTCTCCTCCCACTGTCCCAATGCCAGAATCTGCTTTAGGGGGTATCCTAATATTTGAGATACACAGGAAGCTGTTGAGAGGAGATTAATACACCCAATTCCTTTGACAGAAGCACTTCTGCCAGTGAAATGAAAATACTGGATCCAACACATGAAATACATGAAAACATATCATGTAAAGTGATGACAAAAGAAAAAGGGAAAGTCACTTAGACTGTTTGCCCATTCTGGTATTCGCTGCAGTTTGGTTCCAGGCCCCCTCCCCCCAAGAAATCAAAATCCAAGGAAGCTCCATGGTATAGCAAAATGATGTCCAGTATATGAAATAGTCAACAACTCAAACAAGTGCCAGAAAGAGTCTTACAATCTTTTTTTTCCCTGTGTCAGAAGCTACTTGAGAAACTGCAAGTCTCTTCTGGTGTGAGAGAATTGGCCATCTGCAAGGACGTTGCCCAGGGGATGCCCAAATGTTTTACCATCCTGTGGGAGGCTTCACTGCAAGAGAAGCTTGAGCTGACAGACCAGAGCTCACCCCATCGTGCAGATTCCAACCGCTGACCTTTAGGTCAGCAGTTCAGCCGGCACAAGGGTTCAGCCGGCACCTGGTGAGATTAGACAAGCCCCCACTTTAGTAGCCTTCAAGAAAAAAATTGAAAACCTGACTCTTCTGATGTGCCTTTGTAGAGTGACCATTTATCCCATTTCTGTTTGTTCATCTACAGTGTTGCCCATATGATGCACTTTCCCCTGTCCTAAACTGAAAGCCTAACCCCACTGATCATCCTTTTTGGGCTCCTCTCCATTATACACTTTTTCTATTCCTACCTCATCCACGGTTTTATCATTTTACCTCATCCATTTGGCCTGCCCATTGTGTTTGATTTTATATGTATTTTATTCTGATGCAATTTTTGTTGTCTGCATTTTGTATTTTATTTTGCTGTATTGTATCTTTGGGCTTGGCCTCATGTTAGCCGTCCCAAGTCCCCTTCGGGGAGATGGTGGCAGGGTATAAATAAAGCTTATTATTATTATATTATTCTTAACTGATTGCACCACTGCGACAAGAAATGGCAAGGAGGCTACAGCAGAGTATGCCTATACATTGCTCAGCATGACCAAACCAAAATTTACTTTTGGTATTGTTTAATAAATGTTTTTGAACCTTAGTTGGTTGAATCCACGGATGTAGAACACATGAATATGTAAGGCTGACCATAGAGAGAGAGAGCAGGCACCTTTGCCATGAGGAGATGCTGAGTTGTACCCCCACCTGGACCTCATGTATTTACCAGTTTCCTCTTTGATCATTTTCCATAACAAATAGAGCTCCCAGGGAAGATCTCTCCCCTGCCCAAAAAACCCCTGCCTACACAGACAACTCCAGCAAAGGATCACCGCCTTGTCAGGGCGCTGGAGCTTGAGCACCTCAATGATGTCATGAGCGAAACCATGAAGGGACACCCAAGATGGGAAGGTCATGGCAGAGAGCTCAGACCAAATGAGATCCCTGGGGAAGGCAATGGCAAACCACCCCAGTATTCTTGCCATGAAAACTAAATGGACCAGTACAACCAGAGATATGTCGGTATGCCATTGGAAGATGGGACTCCCAGGTCGGAAGATGGCCAAAATGCTACTGGGGAGGAGCAGAGGATAAGTTCAACTAGCCCCAGATGTGATGACACAGCTAGCTCAAAGCCGAAAGGAAGGCTAGCGGCCGACGGTACTGGAGGTGAACGACGAATCCGATGCTCTAAAGATCAACACACCATAGGAACCTGGAATGTAAGATCTATGAGCCAGGGCAAATTGGATGTTGTTATTGGTGAGATGTCAAGACTAAAGATAGACATTCTGGGGGTCAGCGAACTGAAATGGACTGGAATGGGCCACTTCACCTCAGATGACCACCAGATCTACTACTGCGGACAAGAGGAACATCGAAGAAATGGAGTAGCCTTCATAATTAATAAGAAATTCGCTAAAGCGGTGCTTGGATACAACCCAAAAAATGACAGAATGATCTCAATTCGAGTGCAAGGAAAGCCTTTCAACATCACAGTGATCCAAATATACACCCCAACCACAGCTGCTGAAGAAGCAGAAGTAGATCAGTTCTATGAGGATCTGCAGCACCTACTGGATAATACACCAAAAAGAGACATTATTTTCATTACAGGAGACTGGAATGCTAAGGTGGGAAGTCAAATGACAACTGGGATCACAGGCAAGCATGGTCTGGGAGAACAAAATGAAGCGGGACGCAGGCTGATAGAATTTTGCCAGGAAAACTCACTGTGTATAACGAATACTCTCTTCCAACAACCTAAAAGACGGCTTTACACATGGACCTCACCAGACGGTCAACACCGAAATCAGATTGACTACATCCTTTGCAGCCAAAGGTGGCGGACATCCATCCAGTCGGTGAAAACAAGACCTGGGGCTGACTGTAGCTCATATCACGAACTTCTTATTGCCAATTTAGAATAAAACTAAAGAGATCAGGGAAAATACACAGACCAGTTAGATATGATCTCACTAACATTCCTAGCGAATATACAGTGGAAGTGAAGAACAGATTTGAAGGACTAGATTTAGTAAACAGAGTCCCATAAGAACTATGGACAGAAGTCCGAGACATTGTTCAGGAGGCGGCAACAAAGTACGTCCCAAAGAAAAAGAAAACCAAGAAGGCAAAATGGTTGTCTGCTGAGACACTGGAAGTAGCCCAAGAAAGGAGGAAAGCAAAAGGAAACAGGGATGGGGAGATATGCCCAGTTAAATGCGCAATTCCAGAGGTTAGCCAGAAGAGATAAGGAACTATTTTTTAAATAAGCAATGCATGGAAGTGGAGGAAGACAACAGAAAAGGAAGGACAAGAGACCTCTTCCAGAAAATTAGAAACATTGGAGGTAAATTTCAGGCAAAAATTGGTATGATAAGAAACAAAGATGGCAGGGACCTAACAGAAGCTGAAGAGATCAAGAGAAGGTGGCGAGACTATACAGAGATCTGTATAGGAAGGATAATAATATTGAGGATAGTTTTGACGGTGTGGTGAATGAATTAGAACCAGACATCCTGAGGAGTGAGGTTGAATGGGCCTTAAGAAGCATTGCTAACAACAAGGCAGCAGGAGATGACGGGATCCCAGCTGAACTGTTTAAAATCTTAAAAGATGATGCTGTCAAGGTGATGCATGCCATGCCAGCAAATATGGAAAACACAAGAATGGCCATCAGACTGGAAAAAATCAACTTATATCCCCATACCAAAAAAGGGAAATGCGAAAGACTGCTCAAACTTCCGTACAGTGGCCCTTATTTCTCATGCCAGTAAGGTAATGCTCAAGATCCTGCAAGGAAAACTCCAGCAATACATGGAGCGAGAGTTGCCAGATGTTCAAGCTGGGTTTAGAAAAGGTAGAGGAACGAGAGACCAAATTGCCAATATCCGCTGGATAATGGAGAAAGGCAGGGAGTTTCAGAAAAACATCTACTTCTGCTTCATTGACTATTCTAAGGCCTTTGACTGTGTGGATCATAATAAATTGTGGCAAGTTCTTAGTGGGATGGGCATCCCAAGCCACCTTGTCTCTCTCCTGAGGAATCTGTACAAGGACCAAGTAGCAACAGTAAGAACTGACCATGGAACAACAGACTGGTTCAAGATTGGGAAAGGCGTACGGCAAGGCTGCATACTCTCACCCAACCTTTTTAACTTGTATGCAGAACACATCATGCGATGTGCGGGGCTGGATGAATGCAAAGCTGGGGTGAAAATTGCTGGAAGAAACATTAACCTCAGATATGCAGATGACACCACTCTGATGGCCGAAAGCGAGGAGGAGCTGAGGAGCCTTCTAATCAAGGTGAAAGAAGAAAGCGCAAAAGCCGGGTTGCAGCTAAACGTCAAAAAAACCAAGATTATGGCAACAAGAATGATTGACAACTGGAAAATAGAGGGAGAAACCGTGGAGGCCATGACAGACTTTGTATTTCTAGGTGCAAAGATTACTGCAGATGCAGACTGTAGCCAGGAAATCAGAAGACGCTTACTTCTTGGGAGGAGAGCAATGTCCAGTCTCGATAAAATAGTGAAGAGTAGAGATATCAGACTGGCAACAAAGATCCGCCTAGTCAAAGCCATGGTATTCCCTGTAGTCACCTACGGATGTGAGAGCTGGACCTTAGGGAAGGCTGAGCGAAGGAAGATCGATGCTTTTGAGCTGTGGTGTTGGAGGAAAGTTCTGAGAGTGCCTTGGACTGCGAGAAGATCCAACCAGTCCATCCTCCAGGAAATAAAGCCCGACTGCTCACTGGAGGGAAATATACTAGAGACAAAGTTGAAGTACTTTGGCCACATCATGAGGAGACAGGAAAGCCTAGAGAAGACAATTATGCTGGGGAAAGTGGAAGGCAAAAGGAAGAGGGGCCGACCAAGGGCAAGATGGATGGATGGCATCCTTGAAGTGACTGGACTGACCTTGAGGGAGCTGGGGATGGTAACGGCCGACAGGGAGCTCTGGCGTGGGCTGGTCCATGAGGTCACGAAGAGTCGGAGACGACTGAACGAATGAACAACAACACAGACAAAGCATGGAAGAATTATTCTCTCCCATGTTTCATGTCAAGCCAAGATGCAAAATAACCTGCGGCTCTTAACAGACACTCTGAGATGGACAAAATATACAGTCTGACAGAAAGCGATAATAATCTTTTCTAGAACTGGAAAATTAAGGGAAATACATATTTTTATACCCAGATGGAAATAATAAACTGTAAGGTTTTTGTAAAATATAGGTTGGTTCCGACTTCTGTGGAAATGTGGAGTGGGGAGTAAAGAAACCCAGTTCTATTCAAAGAGGTTTGAATTTCTTTATTCCAGGAAAGGGTTTGGGGGTTAGGATAAAAATTACTACAGCAGGGCAGGAAAGTCCTTGATGATGAAAGGGCAGGCAAATTTCAGCAGCTAAGCAAGGACAAATAGCGCTCCACTTCCCTGATGCCTTTAAATACATGCTGTGAGAGTAGCATCACACAATTGGGAGTCTCAGGAGGCAACTCCACAATGACAGAGCTGTAGAATTTGAAGGAATGCCAACAATCTCAAGTCCAACGATGTAGAAGCACCTAGTATATCTGCTGAGTGAGAAAATCCACAGCTAAAAAGCTTTCCTGATGAACATCCAGCGTCTGCTGGAAACATTTCAATGTGGTGCGTTTCTATGCCAGTTTTGCCTTAGCTTTCAGCAAGAGGGGCCCTGATATAGGAAGGAGACAAATCAGTCACATTTTCCACGTGAACCAGAACCTTTGAGGCTTTTGGTTGCCTGAAAAGAAGTGCACTTCATTCACACCACAAAAGAAGTATCCCTCACTATAAGGTCCCAAAGCCAAGGAATAAAGGAGTGTAGCTAAACCAAGACAAATCTATCAACATGCATCCAAATCTAGCACAGACCATGCTTACACATGCATGCCAAAATAAGGCTGTTTAAAAGTAACTAAGGGGCCTTGGTTGCGCAGTGGGTGAAACTGCTAAGCTGCAGAACTTGCTGACTGGAAGGTTGACGGTTCAAATCCACAAATGGGGTGAGCTCCCATTGTTAGCCCCAGCTTCTGCCAACCTAGCAGTTCGAAACATGCAAATGTGAGTAGATCAGTAGGTACCGCTTCAGCAGAAAGATCACGGCACTCCATGCAGTCATTCTGGCCATGGACAAGGCTGATTTAGAAAGGAGATTAGCACCACCCCCCAGAGTCGGACACAACTAGACTTAATGTCAAGGGGAAACCTTTATCTTTACCTTAAGATGAAGACAGATCTGACATGCCGTTGTGCTTCACCTTAAAAGCCAACTTTGCTCTTTTTAGCTCCCACATACTGAAAGGTCTTATATACCAGAGCTCTTTGTGCAAGTAGCAGCCAGATTTTAAGATGTTCTTCTGGCAGTTGATACTTCAAGAAGGATCTCCCAAAAAGTGTGAGTCACATTCCTTCCTGGAATGTTTGCAGCACATTTGGAAGGGAGATGTCCGCCCCATCTGAAAGGAAACTCCCACAGTGTCCTTATGCATATGTACACAACATTTCAATGAATCTACTCCCCCAGGTTTTAGAAACTTGTTCTCCTCAAAGTGAAGGCATCTAATTCTCAGTGGAACGTATCTGAGAAGCAAAGTTTCAAATGCACATCCTGATGATCCAAAGTAGGATGATATAGCCAAGCAACACAAATGGCTATCTTTAGTATGAAAGCAGTTTATTATTAACCAAAAAATCTATTTACAGATACCACAAGCTGTACAATTTATTTTAATAAAATTGGAAATGTTTTCCCTTTTAAAAAATGTATTCACACAAAATACTAGAAATGCATCCCAACAATGGTGGCTTCACCAGTCCCTGGGAGTCAGCTGGATTTACTTTGTGCAATCTTTTGTTGATTCTCAAGGCACTCCTTCAGCTTGTCTTCTGTTAATGTTAACCTCTGTTCTAGAATGGAAACAGTCTGAAAAATGAGGAAAAACAACAGGAGAAAGGGTTTTTTTTTTTTATAAAAATAGACATTTGAGAATGCAATGCTTTTGAGTCTGAAACCCCTGGGACACCTGAATTAAGTGTGCACATGACTACGTTGTGTGGAACATAGTATTTAAGCATATAGGGCCATTTTTGGCTTATAGCAGAATCACATAATAAGAACAATACACTCATATAAGGATATTGCAAAATTTGAAATATTTTAATACACAGCGTATTGAGACTAGACTAGAAACTAGATTAGAAATTTGTTTTGCTGCTTTAAGTATGTTGAAGATTTAATGTCACAATTAACACCCAAAGCTAGAAAATAAACCAGTTAAATTTTACCAAAGAACTCCCTTTGAAGAAGTTACCATATGAAAAAAGTCTTGTGACTTATAATTGCAAACTAGCTAAAGGTTTACCAAGTATAATTGGAAGGGACAGAAAATTACAGCTTTCCCCCCAACCCTACCTCGTCCCTATTCATTGACACAATCTTCTTGGACAGAACAAAATATAGGGAGAGGCCTGCTTTTCCGAAACCAAATCTGTCAAACTTCTGAAAACTAAATACGGTTTCCAGCCTTCATGAAAAAAACCCTTCAGAAGATGCATTTGGAAGATGCATTTGGTAAAGAGAGAAGCCATGTAACCACAAATATTGGTTTGATGAGGGGACGTCGTTTTGAAAACATACTTCCCCTCGCTTCTCATACAAGTGAGGAAAGAGCCACCCCATCATGTGTCAGGATTTCAGCTGAGGGGCTGAGCCCCCATTGCAACATTCTTTCATTCTTACAGATCACACAGAAAAGAATGGCAGTAAAAGCCATATATTTAGAGATGCTACTGGGATTGCTGTGCTTTGCTTGCCAGAAATCCTAAGGTCTGAATGTTAGTAGATCTTGCGTGCTCTCACATAAAAACAGCCAACCAATGAAAATCAAACAAAATGGTATCTCCCATAGCCGTGTCCCAGTTTATCTACTTTGGGAACTAGTCTTAACAGACAGGATCATAAGAGCATAATAAATTAAGATCATTTAGATTCCCCGTTCCTGAACAAATTGTTTATCACTTCTCAACCAAAATTGCTATTTCAGTGTGTGTGGTAAAGCACCAGCTTGGGAGGGGAATAGTCTGCAAGCCAAACAAAATGAGGCAAGACGGCTCTTCCAGATGTGGAATTTCAGAAATAAAGCAATAAAATGGCATCTGGCAATAATGGCTTCCTTAATCATCCTGAATCCTCCTATGAATGATAAACCCACATATTTAAAAGCCTATGAAGTTAAGAGATATCAGAATGCACATAAACAGTAGCTCCTCCTTCAACATAGCTTGTTATCTTTTACAGCCCTCTGCTGGTCACTTTATGGAATTGTCCATAGAAAGACTTACACCACAGGGCTTTGCGATCCCACACCTGCTTTTCTGTAATTTGTCACCATGGAGAAAAACACAAGAGACCTCCTTTCCCCAGTATATTGATGCCACAGTCCACTATGAGGTAAAACACACATTAAGAAGGGTGATTGTTTTCTTAAATTTTTCAAGCCAGGAGTGGGAAACTGTAGCCTTCCAAATATTTTCATCATTGAACTCCCATAAAGCCCCACCAATGCCTATGCTCAATAGGGTGAAGGGAGTTATGACAGGAGACATGGAGGACCACATTTGCCAACCCATGTTATCAACAAATTATACAAGTGAAGCCCTATGTGACCTCATATAAATTGACAAAAGAATTATAAATAAAATGGAGAAGATAATGTAAAAGAAACAATAGATATTACATGTAAGGTAAACAAAACTCTTTTCTGAAGCATACACTTTCAGCAAACCACTGATGCACCCTGTATAGTGGACCAGTGTTGTTATATAGTATACCATTCATGTCACATATTAAGAGACTGGAAGAAGATGTGGCTGGTCAGCAGGGTAGGGATGAACTCATGTTGGAACTAGACCTATGATGTGGAAGCCCTTTAACATGCTGGATGCAGGTAGATGTTGGAGCCTCTGTCAGAGACTGGCCTAAGAGACCAAAGACAACGGTCCACTACACAAACCTATAAGGAAGAACACTGGCACTCAAGAGACAGCAAAAGGAAAAATTGATTGGCTACATGCTACAAAAAAATGGATGGACCACATCTTATGTCAATTTGGAGTCTTTATCGGCTTTGGGATCTTTTAAAGAACAAATATAATACAAATGTTTTAAACGGGAATAATTCTCCTACTTTGGCTTTCATTGGTTGCCTTCATTCTTTTCACCCTAGGCCATGTTGAGTAACTCTCTTGATTATACTAAAAGCACAGGAAAGCCAGAGACTATTTCGTGACACATAGGTTCAGACAATTACTTCTAAGAAATTATCCTTGGATCAGTCTCCTGGTTAGCAAAACTAAAAGGTCACAATTTACAGGATGCAGAACTGCCTACTTGGGCACCCAGAACCATGATCATGCAGGATAATACGCAGCTACTAGTCTTGCACCATGCTCATTATTTAGGTCAGAATCATGAGACCTTCCAAATGTTTCTGAAGGACACTTCCCAGCATTTTTCACTACTGGTTATACTGGCAAAAGCTGATAGAAGTTGCAACCACCAACACCTGGAAAATCTCAGGATCCTTACCTCTAGTTTAGATATTTATTAGATATCAAATGAAGACCTGACTGACAGATAACACTTAAAAGGTATCTATGAATCACAACCTTCCACACATATGGTTAAAGCAAATCTAAGGGGTCCTACTGCTTGAGATTCAATTTTAAAATGAAACACCCCAAAATAATTTCTACATTTAGAGTCTTTTTTCAAATGTCAACACAACTTTGGTTTTTGAAGTTATTTGGTGTTTCATGAAGACTCCCCAAAGTGTTCCCTACCTGAGTGAGAACATCAAGCTGCCCCACAATATGCTGAAGGGTACTGGCAAGACTGGTCTCGTCCATTTGTTCGTGCTGCTTTCTGGCTGATTCTGTAGTTTCTTGAATTCTTTGTCTATCTGGAACTTCTCCAAAATCCATTTCTGACTGCTGAAGAACAAAGAGGCACTGTTTACCACAACTAGATTTTTATTCAGTTAATACAAAATACAGTTAAGGACATCACATACAAATAGAAAACACGGCAAGAGTGTTAAATTGATTGGAGAAGTGCTGCCCAAACCACTGTGAAAAGCTGCACCCAGGCAACTACTGAATTTGCATATGGTAGCGTGGAGGGCATTTCAGCAGTGATCACTCAAATGTAGAATTGATGTCTCCAAACTACTTCACCAAACTTTTCCCAATAAAACACTGCTTGACTGAACAAAGTTTATGAAACTAGAGATTAAACAAAGATAGAATGCAACCAGTATGTCTACATAATTTCCAATCTCTGACTCTTTTTATAATAAACAATTTAGAAGTATTAGAGAGTTACCTAGGATCTATTCCTCAACCAGAAGACTGAGGAGTTTGGAAAATGCTCCTATACTAGGTATCAAGGTGCTCCAATAATACTTAGCTGGACCTCTGACATGGATATGAACTCACTTATATTTTGATGGGAGTTGCATGCAAGTATACTACTGATAAATACAACTACATTTTAATTACTAATGAATCTGTTATAACTCATAAGTTTTCAGAGTCTGTATAAACCACATATCAGTAGTCAGTTGGCTACTCAGTCATCTTTAGTAGCTCACTTCACACACATGCTTCCTACTTCCTTAATTTTTCAGTGTTTATCCTCTTGCAGAGTGGTCACACAGGCAGAACATAGAAAAACACAGTTGAAATCCTAACCCTGGACTATGTGAGCCAGAGGAAAACAAAAGTATTTGTATCATCTCCACTGGAATGGATGGATCAGTGCAACTACATGCCCAAGAATCTTCTAGAATCTTTGCTCCAGGGTCTGTATTAACCACATATCAGCCCTTCAAGTACTCTACTGTTTACTGAAGGCACGTACAGTGGGCATGTTGTGACTAACTCTTTTCACAGCTTGCAAAGTATGCTTTGTTCGCCTCAGTTGATAAATAAGTCTTATGACAAAAGGGTTCTGTCAAAATACACAAATCATATCTGTAATTCACCACAACTGAACAGTGGAAAAAAACTTAATCAGGAAATGTTTGCCTTTGCTTACCTTTTCTTGTTTGTAGGGTCCAGCCTGCTGTAGCTCGCTACTTCCAGTGTCAATTGCTTTCTACATGCAAACAACCCAAAGGTTTGTGTTATTCTATAATTTCCCACTCCCAGACGAAGAATTCAAGGCACCATAAATGCTCTCAGCATTTTCCACAAGACCAGCATAAGTTAGACCTGTATGTTGTACTTTCTTTTGAAGCAAAACATGACACAAAACAAAGCAGTGGCCAAATCCCGCCCTGCACACCTTGAAGAAGACATTTTTAAGAACTGGGGGGGGGGGGGGCATGTGACCTCAGCATTCACTTCTCTTGTAGAATTATGACCCTGGTCACTATGCCTCAACTTCAAGTGGCTTTCCCAAAATGTAATGATTTCCTTCTGAATAAACATTTCAACTATCTGATTATTGCTATTTGGAAGGGATGGAGAAGAATAGTAGGGAGCAGATGCCCTGTCAATAGATGGAACAAAATGAAAAAAAGCCAAGCCAACAAGAGGACTGGCTTTTTCAAAATGCTCATCTAGCCCTTCACCACTTTTATTTTATTTTTAAACTGATTTCCATTATTTCCAACCAAGGCAGCTGGAATTTTCAGAATGTTTCAGTCAAGGGCCAGCAACTCAGAGCATTTGGGTGTTGTCAGATACAACACCCACCATTCCCCACCACTGGCCATTCTAGCTAGAGTTCATGAGATTTACAGTACAACAACATTTGAAGGGTCGCCACCCACAGTCTAAATCAAATATGCATGTACATTGAGAAAGCTAAGTTTGCTTACTGGTTACTCAACCACAGGGAAGGAAATTAAGTTCAAGATGATTGCTTGCAGCCAAAAGACAATGTATTACATGGAAGTTGTTTGGAAAGGATAATGCCCGATTACATTAGTGTAGAGATTAAATCTATTTTAGTTTATTGTTCTACTGCACATTTTATTCAACACAAGAAAACAAAGGAATTTGGTACTAACTACCCTCTTAACATGTAATAGAAATATCAAAGAACTAAATAAAACTAAATGGTGGGAGAGACAAGCCATTTTTAGCACTGCTTCTAGCAAGATATTTGAATTATTTATAGCATCTGCTAGAAGATAGGAGCTGCCAATACTGGAGGATGCGAAGGAGGAGAATCTGCCCTCATTTGAAAATTATACTATTTCCCTAAAGTATAGATGAATCTTTTTAACAAAGGCACTGGACAGCAGGGGGTGGGGGAGGCAAAGCTGACCAAGCAAATTATTTGGGCCTCTTCAGATGAAACTTTATTGGCAAGCATGCAGTACACCTTGAAGTCTAAAAGACCATGTTGATTAATTTTTTAATATATTTTGATACAAAATATAAAACTCAAGAAATAGCTTCAACAATTATGATTATTTAGAATTTACACAAAACCTCTGAGTGTTTGATAACTCAACAAAACATTATTTTGCTGTAATCCTCAAAGCCATTCTGTAAAATCTATATTGTAATCCCCATAATCTGGGTGGAGGAAGGGAATGAGAAGCGTCCTAGGGACGCCTCATAAAGTGATGTTGAGGACAGATTGTCAATCATCATCATGCCTCATATTAATATCTTATCTTTTCTCAACCTGAGATTCAAATGAAATTTGGGAGAGAGAGAAGTTCCAGTTAATGAAAGTTAACTTCATGAAAGTCAAGACGACAGAAGTTTAAAATTCTACGTCATACCAAATACAATTAAACCATCAGTAAAATTAAAAGCAGCCAAAGCAGTCCATTAAAAAGGAGAGCAACACATCTAAACATCACAGCCCAATAAAAGCTCCCTTCCACCAGATAAGTCGGCCTACAAAGGCCTGCCAAAACAAAAAGGTCTTCAGCTGCCTATGAAAGGATAGCAAGGGCGGTTTCCATCTAATCTCTCAAGGGAGGGAGCTATAGTCCASAGCTTAAATCCAAAATACTGCTCCTTAAAAAGTTAGGATGTGACATAAATCTATTTCCTCCCCCCCCCCCCCCCATTAGCTATTTTAGCTTCTCGATTAGCTATTTTAGCTTCTCTTTGGCTTCAAAAAGAAGGTGAGAGTGACATCCAGTGGAAGTACTTTTTTTCTGGGACAAAACAAAAGCTGAGTGGAAGCTTAGTGAACAGACAGATAAAATGTCCAAATCATCAGCCACTTTATTCATATTTCCCAAACAATGAGACTCAATAATACACAAAATGAAAAGTAGAATGCTGATTACAGGCAAATGATAGGGTGACCAGAGAAAGCAGATCCATTCTCCTTTAAACACTATATTTAAATCAAGAAACCAAACCAAATGCCAATTAGGTTTAGTTCAAAATAAGTAAGTGCCAGATATATTCATGACAGTAACAAAAAAAGATATGGTACCATAATAACAATCAGTTAAGGCTACATAATGAAAGCAAATATTTCCCTTGCTAACAGGAAACAAGGTACATTCAGGTTTTGGTTATGAGAAGATTGCTCAAAATAGTTCTGCAAATGATTTTTCAAATATACTGTTTCTTTACAGTTCTGTAAATTACTTAAAACAGTGGAGGTACTGGGGGGAAAACATTTTAAAAATTAAGCTTTCAACACACACCACTTCACCATTTTCTGGGGTTTTTTTTAATGCTGCTTGTGCTAAGCTAAACAGTGCCTCCAGGTGGGACTGGATTGTAAGCAAGGCCCGGAAATATTCCTTTTGTGTTAGAATATAGATTTCTACATTTCTCCAGCAAACAAAATCAGTAGCCATGGAGGCTAGTGGACTTGAGAAGGTGGAATATTTTTTAAAACTCTTCTCCAGGCTCTACTTCTACCTCAGTACCACTTGGTGGCATCACAAGCACAGGCAGGTTAAGAAAATATATGAACAAGCCCTCCCGTTATGACACAATGTATAAGAGGTCAATGGAAAATATCAGATATGAAGAGCAGCATGCATGCTTTACTTTAAAAAATGCTACCAATAGGAAGAATTCTAAAAAAAAAAAACTTGTCTATGCTAAATTTAGAGAACAAGACAACAGGAATAACTACAGTCGATTTCTTTTAAATTCCTTGTGCATAATGACTGACTTTTCTTAATTTCAACTATTTGTATTTCAGAATGGCACAAAGTAATTATTACTAAGGATTCCTTCCTTTTTTTCCTTGCAGTCTGCTTGCCTTTCCTGTCACTCACCACTCTGTTGTCATTTTATCTGACAGATAGCTTTTACAGTGTTTGAGCACTTTTAGAGGTCCCAATACTAAGGCCATTCATCCGTATTACCAGTACTTACAAAACACTTCACAAGCCCAGAAGCACCTGAAACACCCTCCCTCCATCCCAACTGTCACTGCCCTGACCTTGGAAGACAGAAGGAGGCTGTTTCTGCCAGCCTTAATTCCCTCCTACACTACCATCCCCTTTTCCTTTTCTGTCAGATTGTAAGCCTGAGGGAAGGGAACAGTTTTGTTGTGACAGTGCTATATAAATAAATGATGATAATAATCATGGCGATGACGACTGCAACATCACTGCTTATATTGGCCTGCCTCCACTAGCAGAGTGCAACTGAGCAATTACGAATTAGTCCAGAGCATAATCTTTCATTTCAGAGACAGCTGCAAGACAAGATGTATTTAAAATGAAACAGCAGTGAGACCAGAGTCATCTATGACATCAACTTACCATGCCGTTAAAAGCACCATTCATGTTCATGCTGGGTTTCCGTGTTCTCAATGGATCACCGCATTCAGCACCATTCACATTCATAACCGGCCTCCGTGTTTTTAAGACATCACTATAATCAGCAGCATCAAAGTTTGTCTTCCATACCATTACCTAAAAAAAAAAAATTCAATTTAAGCAGCTGTATCCATGCTCCAATGACTGTTTGGTATTTCCTCACAAGACTGAAAGCACCTCTTGGCCAGAATGCAGGAATACAGTATCTAAAGAAATAATACTGAAAGAGATTACTAAAACTGCTTCACTAGAGAAGTATGAAATTTTTAAATGCCTTAAAAACTGTTTGGAGAATAGTATGAAGCACACAATAATTTTAGGTTCCCTAAATTGTCTCTGATTGCAGTTAATTATAAGGAGGACATAAATGCCCAAGATACCAACTGATCTTGAAAGTTAATCAGGATTACCCCTGCTTCGTCCTTGGATAGGAGACTGCCAATGAATACCAGATGCTGTAGGCTATACTTCAGAGGAAGGAACTGACAAAACTACCTCTGAGGATTCTCTGTTTAAGAAAAGCCTAAGAAATTCATGGGGTTGCCATAAGCTGAAAACTGACTTGAAGGCAAGTGCTTGTACATACGCTGCAGTGCAGGGGTGGAAAATGTAGATTGTCAAGGAACCATATTAGACCCACAGGAGAATCTGAGGGCATCATACCTACATCATATTTTTATTTTGTTTACACCTCAATGGTATGTGGGGGCATTTTATCAATTTTTTGAAGGCCCATGGCCATTTTAGGCTTTTTATTTTACAACCGAAAGTGACCTGGAAGTCACCATCCCTGCAGCACTAAGATGGTTTACACAACAAGCCCATCAGGAAATATTTTTGTTTTGATACCAAGTTAACCCATTTGTTCTTCAAACTTTTTAAAGTGATGTTTTTGGATATTTTGTTGCTGGGTCCCGATTGTAATACAAATGTCTCTTGCGCCCTGCCTTAAACATTTTCATACAGTCATTTCAAGCATTTTTAAAATCCTATGAAATATGTAAACAAATTTTATAATCTTTTGGTAGAGGCAACCTGGAAACACAGAGAACAATATATACAGATCAAAAGATGACAATTTCTCCATCTCAAGATTATAACCCATCGAGGCCTAGACATATCACCAGCAATTTTGTTCATTTACTTTCGTCAGGAGAAACCACTGGAAAGATGTTTTCTTACTATTACACAAAACAAATGTATTACAGTAAGCACCCAGCAGGCATTACCATTGTTGAGCTAAGACATAGTTACATTGAATTAGTTTAGTGGCACTTTCTTCTCTGGGTACAGTTCCAGACAACCTAACTGAATTCAGTACCTTATTGCATCTAAACACTGCAGGACAACCCATAGTAAACTCTGATGATGGATTACAGCAGAGTGACATTCATGTGATAATGGCATATCATATCCATTCTTCAGGGTATAGGCTACACACAAGCTATTAGAGAAAATTTAAAGCAGATACCTGTTCATCAAACCCTCCAGAAGCAAATAAGTCTCCTGTTCTTGAAAAAGAAACACAAGTAGCTGGTCCCTATAATGAAAAAAAAATATCATAGTACAGGATTGAGTAGACTAAAATATGTATGTTAAAAATTAGCTGGTGTATGAATGGGTGGTGATTTCAAAATTATGTTATCACAATATTTTATAACCTGGCCCAAGATGGTGTCACAATATACAATATTCATTTGGACCATATAAATATAACTGTTGTGCCACATAAAGAACATATGATTTTAATATTTCAAATGCTTATTTTTTGTATGCAATAATATTCAGTTCCTGTTTCCTTGCATGTAAATCCACCACTATTATCCACGATGTCTCACAGGAGCAATTTTTTTCAATCAAGCATCTGTTTTTTTTTATAGTACGAAACTCAAGTAATGACAAACTGAACATTGACTATACCTCCTTAAAAAGACTTGCACTTTACAGGCTTGCTCACAAAATAGGCTCACAAAACTTACCGCCTGCTAGGAACTAGCAGGGGAACACTAGAGAATTGCATATGGTGTTTCCCCTTCTTCTTTTTTTTCTTTGCCCACAGGTATATCTTCAAAACATGCAGCAATGACTCTGTCCTACTGCTGTTGTTAGTATACTTATAGGCTTGATTAAAGTGCTAATGTACAACTTTAAAGCCCTCAGTAGCTTGGAATCTGGTTGTATGAAGGACAACCAGCATGATTTTATCCAGGTCCTAAGATAAGCCACAGAGAAGCTTCTCATGTGTCCACCAGTAAAATCTGTTAGACTTGTAGATACAAGACATGCCTTTTTATTGTGACCCCATATTATTTAACACATGCCCACAGACAGCACACTCAGTTCCCCATCTGGCTACTTATAAATACCTGTTTTTAAATGAATAGATGTTAAGACTGGCATTTTTCCTGCTTCTGTCCTTTAAAAATATATTAGTCAAGTGTGAAATCAAGCATGAGGCAGTGTATTGTACACTGGACTAGGTCTTCTTTGGACTAGGGTTTAAATTCCTACTCAGCCATGGAAACTCACTGGATGATCTAGGAAAAGTCACATCCTTCTACCCTTTGTGGAAAGCAGTGGCAAACATCTTCTGAAAAAAGTTTACATGATAGGGTCATTATAAGTTGCAATTAACTTGGGGCACTTAATGACCAAAGAGTAGTGACAGCCATCAAAAATAATCTTTGATCACTCTTTGGGTTGTACACAGATCCCAATGAAATAGCTTCTTCTTCCACTGAACCTTCAACAAAAGAATGTTTTCCTTTCTGTGGCCTTCAAACATCTTGAAAAAAAATTGAATTTCATCAAGCCGATTGAAATATCTAATAATGTACAGAAGAATCTCCAAGGACCATGTACAATTTGGAAGTGGTCATCCAAATCCACAACATACATATCCTTTTGTGGAGGTTTTCATGACCACCCAAAAGTGGCTCCATCCTGGAATGTTCTGTCTCTGTGTAAGTTGAAATGTCAACAATGGGCTGATGTATTCATTCCAAGCTTTGTTTGTATTTCTACAAGAAAGCATTCCATAAACTGAGACACTCAAGATGCAGTTACATTGCACCAGATTCTGCAGCTGCAAATGTCAGAAGAGAGTTAAACTCCATCACACTAACAATTATTCAGATATGGAGAGTAAGCGCCACTGTAATTAAAGACAGCAATGTAAACCTGGCAGCCTTCCTCATGTAAACTAGAGTTAATCAACTAGTAATGAATTCCTCGTACACCAAGTTACATCAAGGCCTATCTAAGGAATCCAAGGCTTCTCTCATGACTATTTGCCCCAGAGCCTCAGTCAGATGTTAGATGAAAATTGAACCAAGGAGTGTTTTCAGTACAGATATTTATATTATACACATTAAACAATTGGATCATGAGTAATGATGGGTACATCTACACTGCAGAATTCATGCAGTTTGATACTAATGGACATGGCTCAATGCTATGCAATTTGTACTCAATGCTATGCAATTTATGAGGTCTTTGGCCTTCACTGCAAAAGGGTGCTGGTGCCCCAACAAACTACAACTCCCAGGAGTCCACGGCATTGATTCATGGCAGCCTAAAAGCTAACAAGGAGTAAGATGAGTGAACCTGCTAGTTTTTAAAATAGAATGAAGAACTAAATGAAGAACTGACGGGAGATGTGAAAGAAATCAATGACACAGTGGAATCTGAAACCAGTTGAAACTACCAATGAAGATGAACAGTTGGGAAATAGAGCTGAAACTATAAATTTTGGAAAAACTGGGCAGTGATGAAAAAAAATCTAATGTGTTAGCACAATTGATATTAATAACATACAGTATTATATGCCATTGCTTAAACTGATGGAGAAGATGGCTTATGAAAGTTGAGTGCCTAAGTACTGTTGAAGTGAATAAAAACTCTTATGTTGCTTCAACATCATAGTGCTAAGATATCAAGTGAAATAGAACATGTTAGGAAAGAAAAGGTCAATGGTTGGGAAAAACATCAAGAGTTAAAAATAAGATTGGCACAGGTGGGAAAAAACCCACCACTGAGATATGAAGGGGAAAAAAAGGTTTCAGAATTTTGGTTACAAATGTATAGACAGAATAATGATTAAGGGAACTGAAACTTGTAGAATGTTAAAAATTTCTTTTAAATAAAGTACTGCCGGTATATAATGCTCAAGAAATCCAAATTCGCAAACCATTCATTAAATTCTCACCTGATGGCTGTGAAGTGTATATAGCAGCCTCCCTTCTAATAAATCCAATATTTTTAGAGTTGAATCATTAGAAGCAGTAATGAGGTAGTTTCCAGAGGAGTGAAAGGACAGGCAATTCACAGAAGCACTGTGTTCTGGGGTTGTGGGAAGGAAAAGGACAGGGAAACATACAACTGCAGATTACTAACATGAAAATGATAGAAACTGAAGTAAAAAGTTGGCTGAGGAACAAAATAATTAAATACAGCATGTTGAAAGTCAGCTTTTCTATTAATGACTTGCAAGTAATATCAGAATTAGTTTTCAAGCAATCTTAAAAAATCATTGATATATTTCTAAGGGAACTAGTACAACACAAATGTACACTCTAATTATGTCACCATCCATGTATTTGGGTATCCATGTGCATGTTTTGTAATCAAACACCAGGGATACTAAGGGCCTACTCTAATGATTTTAATAAAATGAGACACGGAAACTCAAGACACATGCTGCATCCCACTTTAGTGTCCAAACAAGATGCAAACAGGGCTAACTTTGGCAGTATGCACTGATTTAGCCCAGTCACCCACCAAGCCAGCCGGCCCCCATCACATGATGCTGTGAAAGATGGCGGAGCTGCCGCATGTCGCCGGCAGGGCAACATGGGAGGGCTCCCATGTTGCCATTGCAATGCTTGGAAGAAGCCATGCACATGCACGCTTCCCCCATCTGATCACCCTCAGCTGAAGCCAAGTAATGTGGGGCGCCGGATTACCCATGCCCCTCTACGAAGTGGAGCAACCTTGGAGGTCATAAGGCAGAGGCAGCTTTAACAATGAAGCTAGTTGGATTCCTTCTGTTTAGACTAGATTTGATGCTCTTGTACTTTTCTCTTCCTGCAAATTTTTCATTACTAATTTCTACTTCCTGACCTCTGATCATTGTGCTTAAAGTGCCACTTTATTTAGTGGCTTACATTTAAAGCCAATCACTTTAAATCAAAGTTCTGTGATCAGATGCGTGCAGCCCCTTCTGATTTTTGCAAACTGTGAAAATATATATTTGAAATAGGTGGATAGAAACACAGAATCAAGGAAGCCAACTGTTTCACCACAAAAATAAACAACTGTTTCTCCACAGAAATCCAGATATATACTTAAGAAAGTGGTCCTTCTTGATCATACTACTTACCTTGGTAATGTTGGAGAAGCCTGTTCATTCTAACATCCCATACCTTCACTGTGTTGTCTGTGCCAGCTGCAGCAATGCATGTGCCACTAGGGTGAAAGTCCACATGAGGTACAAACCTGTACAGAGTGCAGGGCAAATATTAAATGCTTCTGTTTTGACAAAAAGTGAAACATACCGATACAAATAAGTGAAAAATACTATTTGCATATGTTCAATTGAACCATTGTGTTACTCTGTAAGTAGCATGTTAAAGAAGTCAGCACTCTGTATCCACAGATTCTGCATCCATAGTTTCAAGCACCTATAGCTTGAAAATACTCCACAAAAAGCCATAAAACAAACTTTAATTTTGCCATTTTATACTGTATGGGTGACAATATGAAACGATAAGCAAAATGTCGCCCTATAGCCCACCCACCCCAATCCAATCTACTTTTGTAGACCCTAAGCAACCAACTCGACATTTCTTTATTTTATTTCATTTTTCCATGAAACATTTGCCAAATCCAATCATTTCAGGACCAGGTTCAGTCCTGGTGGAAGGACTTGGCAAAAATGCCCTGATCTATGCAAGATGTAGGGGACATTGCATGCAAAAATATACACCAAAAAAAGGCAACAGACCCCATTTTATCTTGGAAATTAAGCAAGGCCAGCCCTATTTAGGAAGACTGCCAATGTATATTACATGGTTTAGGGTATATTTCAGAGGAAGGAACTTGCAAAACTGTTTCAGATTTCCTTGCCTAAGGGGAAAAAAACTATGAAATTCATGGGATCATCATAAGTCAACAAGCTACTTGAAGGCACATACATACACCATATGACAATGAAAATGTTTACAAAACTACAACACAATATTTGATGGCAATCTGGGCCCCACAGATCCAAAATAAATTAGTGTTCTAAAACAAAAGCAGCCTCCATCTGCAGAGCCTCTTTAAAGACTGTTATTCTCTACATGAGGAGACTGTTAGGGCAAATATGTGCTTCTTCGTGTGTCTTGTCTAAATGCCTGAATAGGTTTCCAAATGACAGAGAATGCTATATTTGACTCTAGGGACAGTATTCAAAGGCTTTGCAAAAACAGGTGCAGTCCCAAGAATCTGAACCATTACTTACCCTCCGTGTTCACAGAAAGAGTGCACGCATTCTCTGCTTGCTTTATCCCAGAGCTTGACAGTTTTGTCATCACTAGATGATACAATTAATCTCCCATCAGGAGAAAACCTAAAAGAGAGGCATCCATTTAACTACAAGCGACATCCTGTTCACCTACAGCAACAGGAGTATAATAGTTTCAAAAGCAAATGGCTAATAAAACACTTCTACTGAATTAATAGGCTTATAAAAATGAATTCAGCACACAGATATGACAGATACTACACTTGGGCGGAAAAAATGAAATGCAAAAATACAGGATGGGTGATGCCTGGTTCGACAACAGTCCATGTGAAAAAGATCTTGGAGTCTTCATGGGCAACAAGTTGAATATGAGCCAACAGTGTGATGCAGCAGATAAAAAAGTCAATGGGATTCAGGGCTGCACCAAAAGGAGTCTAGTGTCTAGATCGAGGGAAGTCATGCTGCCTCTCTAGTCTGCTTTGGTTAGACCTCACCTGGAATACTGCGCCCAGTTCTGGGCACCACAGTTCAAAAGAGATATTGACAAGCTGAAATGTGTCCAGAAGAGGGAAACTAAAATGATCAAAGGTCTGGAGACCATGCTCTATGAGGAGCATCCTAAAGAACTGAGTATGTTTAGCCTGCAGAAGAGAAGGTTGAGAGGAGACTTGATAGCCATGTATAAATACGTGAAAGGATGCCATAAGGAAGAGAGAGCAGACTTGTTTTCTGCTGCCCAATAAACTAAGGCTTGGAGCAATGGATTCAAATTACAGGAAGATTCCACCTGAACATTAGGAAGAACTTCCTTGGAGTGTGGTGGAGGCGTCTTCCTTGGAAGTTTTTAAACAAAAGCTGGATAGCCATCTGTCAGGGGTACTTTGATTGTGCTTTTCCAGCATGGCAGGGGGTTGGACAAGATGGCCGACATGGTCTCTTCCAACTCTATGATTTTATTAACTGTAAATATAAAAGCTATTACCCAAGTATTTTCCATGCATCAACTGTTGTGGTTCAGCAGCAACAGCATGATGGGACTGAGAGTGCAGATGAGCATGATGGGAATGGGAATA